CTATCCCAATGGCTCCAGATTGCAACGAATGCTTTATGGTGAGGAAGTAACCTACCTTCTGTACTTACCACTAACCCATCTTCCAGAGATACGGCACGCAAATCAACAACTAGGTTGTGACGAGTTTATGATGCGCGCGACATTACAAGATGGTCTTTGGGAAGTCGGGGGATATGAGGATTGTGCTGCTGCTGAATTGCTCGTACCGATTGGGCCATGGGCCTCATGTATGTTCATCATCTTCCAGATGAAATATTCTCATGACTTTCGTAGCCCTTCACGATGAAGAAGATACGCACCGCCAAAAAGAAATTGGGCGACTTATGGCACAATGCATTCGAGTAGGTGTTCTTCTTGAACTACTTTGACACGTCTCATGAAATGTATAGTCGTTCGAGCCCATGAACGAAATGCAATTGAAACTACTAGGCTTTCAGGAAGGTATCCTGCAGCAATGGAGCCGTGATATTCACAATGGTAAGAGATCAATCCGTTTTATCGTACTGCCCCCACTCAATGACGACAAAAGAACTCTCGGATGAATCTCTACACACCTTTCTGGACATGCGACTCCTATGGGGAAGGAAACCAGCTGGTATACCATTCTCCATGCCTCTCGTAACACAAGACAACGAAGGGGAACAGTTAAGCGATTGGAAGAGATACTTGAATATCCACTACGCCCAGGAAACCTGGAAAAAGGTTACAGAGAGACGCCAGAAACCAAAAACGTATGCGCCTAAGCCGACTCCTTTCGTCGATCGCCATCCGATGCTTCCTTACTCATTGATTCAGCGAGGAGAAAGGAAAAGAGAGCGTAGACATTGACCTTATCTTTCTTCGGATACAAAAAGCCGGGACTGACTCCCAACAGTGACGATGATTGATGAAGTTTTATCCGATTTATGACATGTAGAATACTGTATTTTGATGGACGGATAATACGAATAGCCATCATATACCTTTTTTTTCTTCAAGAGAATGGTGAATGTCACGTGTTGGGTACTAAGTTGATAATAATCTTTGCTCAAATAAGTACAGAAGAGTTCATACAAACATGAAGTATTATTGATTTAGCTTATCAATCAACAAGCCTACGCCATCTCTCCACTCCTGAAAGCTCTGTACACCAAAGAGGGCTTTTCCTTGAGTCTCCCAATACGTCGAATTAGATCTCATTTTCTCTTCTTGTGTATCTACGATCTCCCCAAGTATTCTGGTGCAGATATTGATTGGTGTGGGATTTCCTCGTTCAGGACGACGTAACTGATTACGAACATCTGGGTCGAGGTTCGACACAAGGCTGATAAATTTGATAACATCCGGTGCACCTCTCTCCTGGGAAGTCTTTAGAATATCCGAGTTGATAATCGCCTTGACTTGGTGACCTTTCAGAGCCTTGCTATCGATCATAACGTGGAGCCAATAGTTCAAGGCACCTATTGGCGTATAGCTACTGAACCCCAGTTCTTTTATCGCCCTGTCTCCTTCTAGTGGATCCCATTGTAGCTTATTGAACCATTTGAGATTGTTGGGCTTGAGGAAATTTTGCCCGAAACCATGAAGCGCAGACAGTTGCGTGACCACCTTGAGGATACCAACGTGTAAACGCAGTCTTTTATTCGTACTAGCCCTACTAGAGTCTCTGGAAACCATATTCCCAAAAGTAACCATGGAGGTATCGAATATCTCTTTGGCCACCTCATTCGCCTTCACCTCCATGAATGGTCGGGAGCCTTGTGTTTCGACAAAGAGCTAATTGTGATCAAACCAGTTGAATAGACATCACAGAATATCATCCTACTTACACGTTTGATTGGGTGTGCTCGTCGCTGCAAAAATCTTATCACATAATCGTCCCAAAATTCATTATCTTCTTCACGGTTCCCGAGCTCCGGTAAAAGCTTCTTATCGCATTCGAGGAACATGTGGGGTTCGTAATTATCCCAATGCGCAAATGCACCTTTGAGAGCTCTTGTACCCCATGCGGCATCAGCAGCTCTAGGACGAGAGGGTTCGTAGTTCCATCCAAAGAGAGCACACGCTGCAAATATGAGAGAGGGGTCACTACATCGGTTTACCAGAATTTTTCGCCTTGTAAGGGAGGAGTAGCCTGCACCTACTAATATGGTACTATCGGAACAATAAAATGCGTCGCGAAGTAAATTTCGGACTGACCCTGTAAGCATAGAAGATACGATGAACCCGAATCTCTCATCATACATTCCAGCAGAGAGATTAGATAGCACATCCAGAAGCCATTCAAAGCAGCGGTCGGGAGATAGGTCGCTGGATGACACGCTTGAGATCTCGCTGAACGTATTGGCACCGATGCACACAGCGAGTGTCTCCAACGCTATCGTCAGTATGTTCCATTCATCACTTCCTTTTATTAACACACGAGGAAGATGATCAATGGTGTTTTTAACCGCCGCTGCTAGCTCTATGGCCCAGGGATGTTTGGACGTGCGATCGGTCGGGTACCATCTCTTTATGTAAGGCCAAAAATGCATACGAGAGGATGGTATTGTAAAGGACCTGATAGTGAGATCCCTCTTCCATAGATTTGCGAGAGATGAATGTCGCAGAATTTGAAAGAGTTTGAGACGAGACTTGCAATCGAACGAACAAAGGTCGAGGAGTATTTGAAGGACTAGGGCCTGAACAAATGGTTGGTACCTTTGGGTGTCTTGTTGAGTATCAAATGTGTCGATAACCATCGTCATGCGATCATGAAGAGAAGTGGATGCAGTGAATGGGATCCCCATGACGGAGAGAGTTGTCGATAGCATTGTAGAACGAATTTCTTTGGCCAGAGGCCGTCCTTCATCGAGGTCAAGTGTTTCCCATAGCATCGTCAAGCAGTCGATGATAAAGTCTCGGACGCCATTTTCTGTGTTTTCATTCATCAAGATACCAAACTCTTGCAGCAGGACTTGAATGATGTAGTGAAGTTTGTTTCGATGGTGCTTGCAGATATCAGAGAACAACTCTTTGGGCCAACTCAGAGTTGAGTCTCTTGGAAATGGTCTTTTGTGCCTCCAGGCGGCGAAGCGAACTGCCAAGCCCAACGGAGTAGATTGTTCGGATTCTTGATCGAAAGGGAAGCCGGTAAGAAGTGCCCAAACTTCACCTTTCAGTGTGATTCCATCATTAACCACGGCTATCATCTGGAACAAGGTCATCAAGTCGGTTTCCTCCTCTACTGTATAGCCGCGATCTTCCCAGTCCCGCTTGGTAGGAAAAAGGGATCGAGTGATGGCCTCAAACATAACTGCCCACTGCACTTCGTCTTTCGAATGATGTTGTGCAAGGATTAATCCTGTATCCTCGCCGATGATACACCGGAAGGTTTCCAGGACTGTCTTCATTGATCTTTCGAGCCTTTCGATTTGACCGAGGAGCCAAACAAGTGATGACACTGAGAGTCGTTTGTTCTCCTCGACCAATGCGGCTTCCCACATATGGGTACGATATTTTGAGATCGTGGGATGAATTTT